TTAAGAAGGGGAAACAAAAATATCCGGTGACAGCAGCACATATTTTGTATTAATTCCCAAAGCATCAATATGATTTATGGAAATATGTAGTTTTCCCTCTTACCCTAGACATCATTTTATTTTAGAACTCTAATAATAACTTTTAAATGCTATTGATAGTCTGGTTTTGCACATGACTGATTTCTATCTTGGCGTGATTTTTAGAATTTCAACATTCCTTACTGATATGGATTTGGATTTTTAAAATATTTTTTTAAGTGTCCAAGTCAGGGGCGCCTGGGCGGCTCAGTCGGTTAAGCGCCTATCTTCCGGTCAGGTCATGATCCCGGAGTCCCAGGATTGAGTCCTGCATTGGGCTCCCCGCTCGACAGGGAGTGTGCTTCTCCCTCTATTTCTCCCTCTGCCTCTCCCCCCGCTTGTGCTCTCTCTCTCACTGTCTCTCAAATAAATAAATAAAATATAAAAAAATAAAATAAATGTTGAAGTTAATGAAATACTGTATTACTGAAATACTATAAAGAAAATGGGATTAATCAAATGAGTTCATTTAGGTAAGAGTAGTATGATATATTACTGAGAAATAGACCCCATGTGACACACATGAAAGAACACAGGACTTAAAAGCATGAACAACTCAGAGTTGTGTCATTTTCTATCTGTGTGGCCCTTAACCAGTTTCTCGGCTTCAACCAGTTTCCTCCTCCACGGATGGAAAAAATAATACAAGTTTTGCATACGTTTTAATACTATTTCAGGATAAAATAAGAATGATTATGCATTCATTTTGAAATTTGTGAAGAGCTACTCAGATATAAATATTATACACACAAATGAAAACAAAAAATTTTCATTATAATTTTATCAGATATAACTTATCTGATAAACTAAATTTCAGATGTTGATGTCTGGAATAATCAAGCCATGAAACTGAGATGTTGATGTCTGAGATATCAATTTTTTTGTCACTTTTATTCAACTACTGATAGCATACTGAAAACATTAAAACAAAAAATGGAAGGTCATCCTTTATTTTTGAAAGATTGGTATAGGTGTAAAACTGATCTTATTTGTTTGAAGAGTTTACTTGGCAGGGACTCCATAGTTGATTCAAGAATACATGGAGACATTGAAATCCCAGGGTCTTACTATTTTTAGTGACTAAAATCCCTTTAAAAATCTAATGAAAGCTAAGGGTTCTCTTCCAGAAAAATAATCCTATCATCTACAGACAGAATTTTGCAAGGAATTTCAAAGGGGTTCACATCCATGGATCCTAATAAAAACCACATCTTCACCTTAGATTGACATATAGTAGACTTAGTAGACTTCAGTGATATTAGACTTTAGTAGATTGATTTAGATTGACTTTAGTAGACTAATGATATGGCCTCCTCCCTTCCAGATTTCTGTGATTTCCAGATTATTATAGTCTTCTGTTAGACTATTATAGAAGACTATATAGAAGTTTTCCTGCCCAGCTGCACCTTCACCCATTCTATATTCCATCTAGGGTCTGATCTTAAACAATCTTGGTTCCTGCGTTCAGTCTACCCCCTGACTGCCATTCCCCAGCATTCTTTTCTTTTTTTTTTTAAGATTTTATTTATTTATTTGAGAGAGAGAGTGTACAGAAGCAGGGGGAGGGGCAAAGGGAGAGGGAGAAGCGGACTCCCCACTGAGCAGGGAGCCCAATGCAGGGCTCAATCCCAGGACTCTACCATCACGACCTGAGCCGAAAGCAAATGCTTAACTGACTGAGCCACCCAGGCGCCCCTTTTCCCCAGCATTCTTAATCAGTGCTCACTCCCAGGGGAGGCAGTAAGAGAGGGAAGGGCTCTGATCCAAGCTAACAAATACAAGAAGCAGAGGCTTTGGGCAGAAATGGAAACTGCAAGTAGGTTTCAGCAAGGCTAGAATAGAGGTAAATAGTCTGAAAAAACAAAATGTTAAGATTTTTACTAATTTACAATTCTACCAACCCTAAACAGTCAAATATTTGAAATTCCTTTTTTTTTTTTAAAGATTTTATTTATTTATTTGAGAGAGAGGATGAGAGGAGAGAGAGAGCACATGAGAGGGGGGAGGGTCAGAGGAAGAAGCAGACTCTCTGCTGAGCAGGGAGCCCGATGCGGGACTCGATCCCGGGACTCCAGGATCATGACCTGAGCCGAAGGCAGTCGCTTAACCAACTGAGCCACCCAGGCGCCCCAAATTCCTTTTTTTTTTTTTTAAGATTTATTTAATTTAGAGAGAGAGAGCATGAGAGCAGAAGGGGCAGAAAGAGTGGGAGAGAGAATCTCAAGCAGACTCCGCGCTGAGTGTGGAGCTGGACATAGGGCTCGATCCCAGGACCCTGAGATCACGACCTGAGCTGAAACCAAAAGTTGGATGCTTAATGGACTGCACTACCCAGGTGCCCCAAATATTTGAAATTCTTTGTACAGGGTTCATTTGTAGACAGCTCTTCATTGAAATCCTCTAGAATTTGACCGTTCTCCACCTCTAATAATATAATATGAAAGTGATTTTTAAACTGTAAAGGACTAGAACAGTGTAAGGAATGTCATGCTGGATTATAACATGATTTGATGTGATGTGAAGAAAAGTTGCACCGCATCACATCCACTGTCTGAAATGTCAGCCAGATGGAAAAACAGACCAAAGGATTTTTTCTCTTGTAGTCCATCTAACAACTGTATATTTTTCCAAGTTTGTAAAATTTCAATTCCCAGATTTTCTGCTTTTGCACTGAATCCTCAGCCTATTCAAGTCTTAATTTGATACCATTTCACAAATGGCTCTCAATATTCTGTGTCTTCAGATACAACCAGCTTACATAAGTCAGTGTATGTTAACAACCACAACAAAATGCCAGGCAAATATTTAAAAATGCAGACATATTCTTAGAATACCAGAAGAGCATGCTCTTATTTTGTAACTTCAGCAACAATTGCTCTAGATCTCTAAAAGTGCTACTATTTAGAAAATGAGAGTAAGGACATATACGTTCTTCATGAGCCAGGTGTACTCACTGTTGCGGAATTTTGAGTTTTATTATCAAATGTTGGTTTAAATTTTTATATTCTAGTGCCAACGTGATCCATGACAATCTATTCTTTAAGGTAGCTTTAGTTTTTTATTATCTTTTTTAATTTGAGTAGTGTTGATACACAATGTCACGTTAGTTTCAGGTGTACAACTTAGTGATTTGACAAGTTTATACATTATGCTGTGCTCGCCACAAGGATAGCTACCATCTGTCCCATTACATCACTATTACAATACCATTGACTGTGTTCCTTATGCTATGCTTTTTATTCCCGTGACTTACTCAGTCCATAACTGGAGGCCTGTATCTCTCTCCCCTTCGTCCATTTTGCCCAACCCCCCACCCCCTCCCTTCATTTTGTTCTCTGTATTTATTGTTCTGATTCTGCTTTTTGTTTGTTTATTCATTTTTTTAGATTCCATTTATGAGTGGAATCATTTGGTATTTGGCTTTCTCAGTCTGACTTATTTACTTATTTCACTTAGCATAATACCTTCCAGGTCCATCCGTGTCATCTCAAATGGCACAGTCTCATCCTTTTTTATGGATGACAATCTATTTTTAAAATAAAATCTAGGAGAAGGTAGCAAACTACTTAATAATGAATGTGAAGTATTGAATTAGAGTATTATTTTGTGCTTTTAAAAATATTATTGATATTGCAAGGTGAATTTTTGCAGTAATATTATGATGCTGATAAGCAACATTGATTTTAAGATTTCCACATTTTATAAGCAAAAAACAAAAGGCCCAAATATTTAAGGTGTGGAAATTCTGCTGAAGCAGCATTAACAGTGAATTAGATTCCCATTAGGTGGTGTTCAGTGAGAGGGGATGTGCATATGCAGGGCTTGAAGAAATTTACAAGAGAGAGAGACATTTTTCATTCAGAATGCCAACAGGCATCATTTGGTATCAGAAGCCTGGCTTTCAGTGTTCACTGTATGAGCTATCATCACCACTCAGAATTCTCACTTTTTTCAAACGCAGGAATATACTTTTGATAGACAATTTAGAGAAATTAATAGCAAATGATAGAGAAATTGCTCTTTTCTAGAGGGAGAAAAGACATTTGAGGCAAAAGGCATGGCTATGAAATTTAAGGCTACTACATACTGTATTTTAAGTGTAATTTTGTATTAAGCTTTCGTCTACTTGTGTCAAATTAGAGTCCCTCATTTAGCAGATTAAAACCTTTTATGATTCTTTTGATGTGGAACTATAATTTTTCACTTTCTTGATCTTGCAGACCACTGATAAATTCTTCAGTTTCTTCAAGCCACGTGTCTCTCTTTTACATTTTAGAACCATTGAATTTTATAGAAACAGCATTCTAAAGAAAGAAGTTAGAATATAATACTGTAGCTTGCCGACATAAAGAAATATATTAGAAAGCAAAATGATATTGATAGACTTTGAAGAGAAAGATCTTTGTGGGCATTTAAAACACCAAGGAATTACAAGGCCGTGTTGAAGAGCAGGCTAGTTAAATCGGAGAAGTCAAAGCAAGTTATCTTTCATTACTGACATGCCAACTACTGAAAAGAAGTAGAAGTTGGTCCTAAGTAGCTAACAGTGAGCCCCGGGTACTAACTTCCCTGAAGCACTGAAATAGGAAGGGGTGGAAAAAAGTTGTAAAAGAAACCCTCAGGGATTCCTCCTTTTTTCCCCTGTGATCCCTTTAATCCTTGAATTGTCAAACCACATGGAAAATAATAGAGCTGCGTAGTTCTGAGACTTAAGTGGTATTATCTTTTTAAAAGAAAATATTAGGTCTTTTCACATCTCTGGACAGGAACAGGGCATGCGTTCGGTGTAGAAAAGAGTAACTTGGAACAAGAGATGCATGTTGCTTTTTCGGTTTTAGTATATTATTATCTATGACTAAGCAGGCTGCACCCAGTAGGGAAAAAAATTATAGCCAATATTTTATTTTCTTTTTTTTAAACAGATGATTCAACGAGAAGCAGATGTAAAAAGTAAGGTAACTGCTGTGGCGTTGACAGACTCTGTTCACAATGTGTGGCATCAAGAAGCAGGCAAAACGATTCGAGAATGGATGAGAGAGGTGAGACTAGATTTTTTTCAACGCCGAGATGAATGAGTGTGAGCCTTTATGTCTTGAGCCCCCACCAACTTGTATCACCTCCCGCCCCCAAATTTCCTTTCTAGAGCCAGAATATTTAGAGAGAGGAAAACAAAGTAGACATGGTTGAAATAATAATAGAAAACCCTTCTGAAGAACAAATACGTTTTTGAAAGCCCTTCTCCCTTTTTTGGGCATTCTGTAGAATGTTATGTATGCATGCAGTATACAGTAGGAGCTTTGGCTGAAGAAGGTCATGATCTGTTAGGAGATTATTATTCCCTGCTTTTTAATTTTTCCACCCGCTATTTAGCATTGGTGCTGCTCAGTGACAAGAAAGAAACTTAAAGTACCATTGGGTCTATCCTTTTCTTGAAAGCTGGTCAGTGCGTGCCACTTTTAAATGGATTGGCTCACTACTGCCAGTAGGGGGAGAAGTAAAAAGCTGAAATAGTGTTTTGCCAGACCGAACCTGGGGCTTGAGAAACCCAAGGGCTGGTTACGGCCCAGCCTCAGGCTAAGAAAGCTTCTTTTCACCATTCCTAAGGGCTAGTGAGCCTGAAAACTATCATGACTCATTGAACATGCTCCCATTTTTTTTTAAACTTTCAACCCATTATTTCTTTTACTTTGGTTATAGATGTACAGCTGAAACTTATTTTTTATTTATATTTCCCTTTCTAATATTATAAGCAATTGGCATCATCCATACCATGCTATATCAATGGTTTGGTCAAACCATATATTTCTATAAATGAGAACTAGTTGACCTTCCTGATTTTTCTCCCACTTTTTCTTGATAGAATACCCAGATATTTATCCAGCTGCCTCTCACCATACGTATGATGGGTAACTTCTAACCAGCCCTTACGGTGCCCTGAAAGGACCAGAGAGTTAACGTTTGGAAAGAGTTTCGAATAAATAGAAGGACTAAGCTGCATAATCCCATAATGGAATAATCATAATATTACCAGTCTGTTTTCACTGTTGTTGTTATTATCCATTAGAAAAAGTACTTGCATCATGTAAAAGTCTAAAATATATTTACTCCATTCTTCATAATGTTATAAATATATAAAGGTAGGCTTTTAATCTGTCCTAAGATGTTTTCTGACCACATCGCTTTTCATATTTCTTCTTTCACAGGTTTTCTACATCCTTAATTGTCTTTTCCATGGGCCTATTTTTTTTTTCAAGAGAAACACGTAATATGTCACGAGAATACGTATACAGCACCCAGCATTATGTAAATGCACCTTTTTCCCCACATATAACCAATATGGAATTTAGTATTTGTCCCAAACTAGAAATATCCCTGTTCATCATCTTTGAATTGGTAATTCTTCATGTCTCATTCCAGGTGACAAATATAACAAAATTTATTTAGATTTACTTCTTTTTAAAAGTTTTTATTCAAATTCCAGTTAATTAATGTACAGATTATATTAGTTTCAGGTGTACAATAGAGTGATTCAACACTTCCATACATCACCCAATGCTCATCATGACAAGTGCACTCCTTAATCCCCATCACCTGTTTTCCCCATTCCCCCACCCACCTCCCTTTGGTAACCATCAGTTTGCTCTCTGTAGTAGATTTGCTTCTTTAACCCTTTGTAACTAAGACTGGATTAGATGCCGCCTTCAAAAATTGTAATATATTAATCTGCATTTTTTCGTCTGACTGAAATAGGCAATATTGAATTCATCTTAATCAAAGCTCTCATTAATTTCTTTGCAAGCATAGCTTTTATAAATCTTTTTAATATTATATAATTTTATAAACGACCTACTTCTTGAATAGTTCTTTTATTCCCTCAGTTATGCCTGAGGCATGAAACAGCATGAAGAGTTTTTTATTATGACATACCAAAATTGAGACCCCCAACTCAATCACTTACCTAACTGTGTAATCTTGGGTACATTGTTTAATCCCTTTGAGATTCAGTTTTTTCATCTATGAACTCTAATACGTACCTTGCAAATATGGTTGGGAAATAACATATGTAAAGAAACAGCATGGACGTGGGCATTTTAAAGAAGTTCGATAAATTGTAGCTCTCATTGTTATTACCTTCTTGCCCCCAAGTAACATAAAATATATGGATTGTATTCTTTTGTTTTATGGATGATTTGCATATTCAAAATATCTTACCCAAAGGTAGTAATTCAGAGCAAGGAGTTGGAAGAACTGGGTTTTGATAATGATTCTGGGTTAGTCACTCACTAGGTAAATGAAAACTGAGATCTAACACATACCAGGTACTCTACACTAAGGCTTATTGTCTTGGGAAAGCCACTCCATCATTCTGGGCCTGTTTCATAATTGTGAGTTAGAGATCATAATTCCTATTCCATCTACTTCATGAACTATTATGAGAATCAAAGGTGACAACCAAGAAGAAAATCCCTTGAAAAGCAAATGGAGGGCGCCTGGGTGGCTCAGTTGGTTAAGCGACTGCCTTCGGCTCAGGTCATGATCCTGGAGTCCCTGGATCAAGTCCCGCATCGGGCTCCCTGCTCAGCAGGGAGTCTGCTTCTCCCTCTGACCCTCCTCCCTCTCATGCTCTCTGTCTCTCATTCTCTGTCTCGCAAATAAATACAATCTTAAAAAAAAAAAGAAAGAAAAGCAAATGGAACTGCATAAAAAAATAAAATGCATTGTTAAAGAAAACACTATAATATCCCAGAGATAAAAATTATTAGGTCATTGTTGATGGAGCTTTGAAATTATCCCTGCCCAGAGAGCCTCTCTAAAACAAGAACAGAAAGGGAGACTGTGGGAGCCTACGCCAGATATCCTTGTCGGACCTCACCTAAATATGTGACCCCCTCATAGAGAATTTTATGGTTTGGCAAGATAAGAATCTAGTGTTTGTTTCCTAGCACTTAGGATAAAACTCCATCCCCTTTTCTTTCTCCATTTTTAGTCTCTGTCCATTCTGCAAGACCCCTTGAAATAATGAAGAACAAACAGTCCTGGGTTTAGTAAATAGAAAGGACTGTTGTCTTGAGCATGAGTGTTGGGAGAAGAGTGTGAAAGGGTAACTTTTGTGTCCATCCCACTTCCTACCACCACCTACTCCGGCTTTAGTTGGAATCAGCTCATATTTCTGAGATATTTTGCAACTATGTCAAGAAAAACAACTTAGCTAAACTGTAATGTTGTCCATAAAGATAGTAGTCTGGGCCTCTTAATGATTAGCCCCATTATTTGACCAAACACCACTTTAAATTTGGGAGTAGGACAAGGTACAAATTGCCCAGTCATTCTTATTATACGGCAAATTAGTAAAACTGCTTTTTGTTTTATAAGCATATTTAAGTTAATGTGATAAAGGTATCAACATTAACTATTCATCTACTATAAAAAGCTGATTTACTTTTTTTAAATTTCAGCAATTAGCATACAGAAAGAAGGTTAAGTACTATATTCTTACATTACTTACATAATTTTAAAATAACAATTTTTTTTAAAGAATGAAGGTCAGGGGCGCCTGGGTGGCTCAGTCGTTGGGCGTCTACCTTCGGCTCAGGTCATGGTCCCAGGGTCCTGGGACCGAGCCCCGCATTGGGCTTCCTGCTAGGCGGGAAGCCTGCTTCTCCCTCTCCCACCCTCCCCTGCTTGTGTTCGCTCTCTCGCTGTGTCTCTCTCTGTGAAATAAATAAAATCTTTAAAAAAAAGAAAAGAAAGAAGGTCAGAGAGGGCTACTTTTGGCAATTATGCTGAGTGAAAACTACTTCCAAGCAAAAGACCAAGGATACAAACTTAACCATGACTCTTGAGGAGAGGTTAAAAAGTAGCCTAAGGCAGACCCTAAAAGATGCGTCTTCCTCCAGCTCCAGGACTAGAAAGTGGGTAAGGGTGGACATGCAGGACATTATGCTAGGTGAAATAAAAAACTGGATGCAGAAGGAAAACTACTACATGATCACACTTACACATGGAACCTAAAAAGTTTGAATACATAGAGAATAGAACAGTGGTTACCGGTGGGGTAGATAGAGAGATGTTGGTGAAAGGGTACAAAGTTGCATTTATGAAGGATGCATAAGTCTAAATGTATGGCATGATGACTATAGTCAGCACTGTACTGAATACTAGAAATTGGCCAAGAGAATAGATTTCAGGTTCTATCACAACACGCACACGCACACACACACACATACACACACAAACGGTAACTATGCGAGAAAATAATTAATCAACAACAGTAATCATTTCACAATGCATATGTGTATCAAATCATCATGTTGTACACCTTAAATACATAGGGTTTTTTTTTTGTTTTTGCTTTTGTTTTTTTTAAAGCAGAGTGGGTAAATGTTATTTCCTGACATATATATCCCTGGGCTCTGAAAGTCTCCAGCCAAGCCAGATGTATGGTTCTACGTAACTGTCATGAACCCTTACCCAGCATCATCAGCTGGGAATGGCAGTCCCGGAAACACAACCCAGTGAATCCTAGTTGTCCTTGTCTGAGGACACAATGCCTTCCATTTTGAAGCTCTACCTCTAAGGCATTGGTGGATCTCAGACAAATGAAATTAAAATGAGTAAGAACCTAAATTCAATCAGGACAGCAAATATTTCTCAAAATACCTTGTATAGGATACCTACTATGTATTTTTTCTCTTTAAACATAGCATACTAAGTTCTAATCTTTTTAATTCATTTCATATCTACACTGAAGTATTGTCAGCCCTTGGTTCAAGGGTCAAAGAGGGCCACTCAGCACTATGGCCTACAGGCACTTCTAGTCTATGTTAATAGTTCCCAACACTTTGGATTTCACAAAGAAGACAATTTATAACCACACACACAAAAAAAACCAAAAACCTGTAAATTCCTAATTTCGGAGTTCTAAAAGACCTTTAAATTGAGAACACTTAACTCTAAGAAACACTCTCAATATTGCACATTTTTTCCCCAAATTCCTGGCTCTGGCCAAGGGCATCTTTCTCTCTGCTTGCTGGTTGGGATGAGGCAGGGCTCCATCTGAGGCTCAAACATGCTCTCTTGATATCTGTAGTACAGCAGGCCTTGCTGTCTGCTCAGGGCACCCAAGAATAAGATCTCCAGGGGCTGGGAACACACTCCAGCGTCTTCTGAATTTAAGTCGGGCTTTCCTAGTCCGCTGCCTCTGTTGCCATCCTGGACACTATGCTAGTGTTCATCTCAACTGAAGAACTGGGGTGGGGGCAAATTGAGCCACTGAGAAGAGGGATAGAATAAACATTAGAAAAACAGTAAAAGAGATTTGGTCTTTAAACTATAGAAATGCATCTCAGAATAGGAAGTTGGATTTGATATGATGGAATTTCAGACAGATTGAATTCATGTGTATGGGCTGTAAGTCTTTCTCATATTTCTTTCTTTACATGTATTTCTCAGCACATTTATGTTATTTTGTTATATTCTGTCACATGGCAAACATTTTTATCTTGTTCTGTCCTTTTCTCTACATATTTTTCCCAGTGGGATAAAAATGTTACATATACATGTACACACATGTACATGACACTCATCAGACTTATGATACCAAGCCTTTACAATCCTGCACAGGTACTCTGTCATTCCAGAGAACTTTTGGACATATTCACTTTATAGGATGTTTATTTTGATCCTATTTTTATGAGAAATCAAAGCCTAAACATCTGCCTAGATAAAAAGTGAAAATTTCAGAATCATAAATGCTAACCTATCTTTTGCTTTAAATGTTTGAGTTAAAGGTGACCTGGGTAAAATCCATTTTATTCAGCTTTTTTTTTTTAAAGATTTTATTTATTTGAGGGAGAGAGAATGAGAGACAGAGAGCATGAGAGGGAGGAGGGTCAGAGGGAGAAGCAGACTCCCTGCCGAGCAGGGAGCCCAATGCGGGACTCGATCCCGGGACTCCAGGATCATGACCTGAGCCGAAGGCAGTCGCTTAACCAACTGAGCCACCCAGGCGCCCCATTTTATTCAGCTTTTTAAAGTCAGTAATAACGAGTTAGAAAATGATTAATCGCCAACATATTGTAGTGTACCATCATTTTTATTAATACTAGAAATATCCTGTAAGACATAGTTTTACATATGTGAAGTGTAGGTGAGCAGTATCAAGACTGACATATCACCTGGGTAATAGCTGACTCTCATCAGATTTGGAGGTACTACTAGGATGAATAATAATTAAAATATATACCTAATCGCTGCCTGTCTGTTGGTAGTGCTAATTGCTGTCTTTGAAAAGACTGAATTGTTTGAGAGAAAGAGAAAAAGAGAAAGTCATTCTTCATTGAAGCTATCTCCCTGTATCATTGGGAGCCTATTTTTAGTACCTATAGAAGTCATGATTTTTGAATTTATTAGGAGCTGTGATGAATGATAAAACAAATCATCCATTTACATATCTTGACACTGCTTTGGAGAATACTTATTTCTTACAAGCAAGTGTCACATTGTATATAAAAGCTGGCTAATTGTGTGCTAATCTTCTGCATTATCTAGAACTCTGTGATGTGGTATTCTATCAATAGTAATATTAATTTTACTTATTTCAAATGTATGAAATAGCTTTCTAAAACCCTATTTCTTTTATCATTTCTGCACTCTCACAGTGTATAATTTTGCATTCAGCTGCTAATTAAGATTAGGAGTGCAAGTTATAGAATACATACTCACTTTAAACCATCAAGCTTTTGTAATACATAAAAATACTAATATTTTATCCATTTTAAATGTAAAAAGAAAGAAAGCATTTAAGAACACTACTAGATGTTGTGTTTGTTTTCATGGTTTTTTTTTTTTTTCCACACAGTTCAATAGTTTCATTGATCTACTGTTTCTTACAAAAATCTGCCATGCTTTGTGAACTTCACTTTCTAATCTCATACAGCAACCCTTCCTTTATGTTATTCCTGCTCTCCCTGGTCCCAGAACAGTAGGGTTGCCTTGACAAATCTATTCAAAAGCCATTCCTCAGCCTTTATTGGTGGGGACTGGGGCCTTTGAAATTCTCTCCTCACTGCAACACAGCTGACATCTTCTTCCAGACAGAATGAATTAAGGAAATACAATAAGACACTTGATCTACCAGTCAAGGATCTTTCCACAGTGAGGACGGATTCCATGGTGCACAACCAGGGCAGCAAGCATCTAAAAATACACAATACATACTTGTTTACCAGAATAGCAATCAGCGATTTTTCCAACATGATTGATAGGATGATTTCTTTTAAAATAAAATCTGTCTAGAAATTCAGTGTGTGTGTGTATGTGTGTGTGTGTGTGTGTGTTAGAAATTTTTAAAAAGCCGTATGAGGTTAATCACATTTTTAAAGCCAACCTTTAAATATAGAATTAAAATGTATGGAAAGAATATACATTATTTTTATTTCATATGTCTGAGTGGTAAGTCATCATTATCCTCAGGATTGATTTTAATATTGAAGGCTTTGTGTCCTCACACACACAGCTACAATTCACTAGGTTGTGTTTCTTTTGAACTTCTTGATACAGCCTTCACTGAACAAGGTTGAAGTAAAAACTAAAAGAAAGTATATTTAAGGAGTTAACTGAAAAATATATTTCTTCTAGTATTACAGAGAAAAAAAACTATATTTTAAAAATAAAACTATTCTTTCACATGATCAAATTAGTATTTATTTCCATCTTAAGGTTAAAAATGGATGTCCTTTTCAGTTTCCCTTAATTATAATCTTAGCCTTTTCTTATAAACATATTACATCATGGTTCACGGAAGGTTACATGGCTTCTTAATATCAGCACAGATAATTTGCTGAATTGTCGAAGATAAACTTTTTTCCACAGCCACAGTGGTCATGAATAATACTAACTGTTTATATAAGAACATTTTTTACAGTGCAAGAAAAATAAATTGGATATACTTCTAGTGGTTGACTATATAGGATAAATTAATCTCTGCTGCCTAAAAAGTTTGTCTTGGTTTAAAAATAGTTCAACAGAAAATTGTCTCTATTGCATTGCAGAATTGTTGTAATTGGGTCTCTAGCTCAGAACCATTAGACACGTCAGTGGAGTCCATGCTGCCCGATTGTCCCCGAGTCTCAGCAGGTATGTGTTTGATGAGAGATGTATGGGTTTTTCTAGGGTGAAAAAATATGGTAATGAAATGTGGAATTCTATTTTGTGAATTAAGCATGTTGTTCTGCCTTGAATCTTTGAATGAATTATTGGTAACATACGGCATGGGTCTGATCCACTACCAGAAATTTGTTGAGTGACTGAAAATAGTAACTAACACATTCAGTGAAGATGAATAGGTGAAGCAATTTGAGAGTAATATAGACAGTTGCTGCTAAAGCTTCGGGAGACAAGATGTACATAAATAAAAAGTTGATTAAGACAAGGACTGGGTAGCTAAGCAGGATCTCGGAAAATTTGTCTCTCATTGAATATCAACTCAAGGATACAACAGGCAGTCAAGACTGTGAGTTCAGAGAGGGAGTGGCCTAGAGTCTTTAGAAAAATTTTTCACACAGAAGATTTTGGCTGGACCTTATGCGTTCGGTAGAATGTGGATTACAGAAAGATGAGCAGGATGACATTTAGGCAAAAGAAACAGAGCAATGTAAGGAATAAGGGCTGGAATGGATCTGAAAATGTTCACGGGAAACAAAGGCAAGATGGCCCTGCTCTTGAAAGAGGTGGATGGGAAGTACCTCAGGAAGCAAGTGGGCTTAGGAAGCCAGTTGAAGGATGGAAGGGCTTTCCATCCTATAGACTGTACTTCAGTCTCTGATCTCTAGAGAAGAAGAGTGCCATTTTTGTTTGCTTTCTGGTTTTGGCTTTCACAATCCCCAACCAGTTCGGATGGTAAGCACAAAATGAGTAGCAGTATCTGCTTATGGCTGCAGAACAGAAATGGGCTTGCTAGAGCTGTCAGAGAATGAGCGGAAGTTTTGAACATGAACTACTCCATAGAAAAATCATAGGAGATAGTTGATCACTAAGCATTTGGAGTTGCAGACATGTCTACGTATTTGAAGGAAATAATTTGGAGAACAGTTCGAATACTAGGTAAAGAACAATTATTATAACTATATTTCTTTATCACTAATACCTGAACTTCAACTCAGCTTCACTATGATTTTAACTAAACTTTTCAGGTCTGTTGGTTAGGAAACATATATGCTACTATATAAATATATATAAATATACTTAAATATATAAATAAATATATATACACACATATGTATATGTGTGTATGTTTCTATGTATATTACGTGTGTTATATATTATGGTATATATAATGCATTACATATACATATATAATATATATATATTGTATAATTATCTTTATTAGCAGTGGTTATGTTCTATAAAGTCACTGAGAATGCTGAATTAGTGAGTATTGAATCATTACTCCTGGGGATAGGATATACAGGGTTAGGTTCCTACAAGCATCTGGTCACAATGTTTTCATCAATCAACCAATATATAATCTTGCTTTATGAACTGAACGTCTCTATTTAAAGACACCTTATTTAATATACATTGTTGATTCACTAACATTGAACTCACAGCCAACGGCACTGTAATTCATGCCTGAATGAAGCTTGTGTAACACATTTATTTTCTCCGTAAGACACATCACAGTCTTCTTAGGAACACTAGTGCTTAGTGCTTACGTACACTAGACGACGCTTCAGCACTACACTTGGGGGCCATTTCAAACAGTGATATCGCAAAAAACAAAACAAAACAAAAATGTGAAGAGCATGGCACTAAATAGTCTGTGAAAAGGACACTTGTTTACAGTGTGAGAACAGAAACAAGAAGGTAAAGCATGGCCTTATTTGACCTTAGTTGGGAATGCATGTTAGGCAACTCCAGTTTTTCACCACTCTGCACATGTGCGTATCTGTAAATGACCACAAAAAGCACCCTGAGTATTGATTTTGGGGGTTACAAATAAATTTTAGTAAGTAGGCGAATTCACAAATATGGAATCTCTAAGTAAGAGGATTGATTATATATAGTAAAGGATTTGTTAAAAGGATTTGACCTGGGATTTGACCAGAGCTAGTGAAGCAGGCTTTGTAAGAATGCTGGAGCTTGGAACTACCGAGCAGACGTTTGTTAGGGGGAGATGGATGAATGAATTAGACCACATGAACATGGACTGGAGCCCGTGAGGATGGACTTAAACTCATGTCAGTTCTTTTTGCTTCTGTCCTTGGTGGTGTGGATGTCCTATAGAAGCCAGTGTCCTTTGTCATGGAGTTAACCACATACATACCTGGCCCAGGAGTCAGAGATGCTGAGGGGGAATTCAGAGGATGGTGGAACAGGTGCATTCCTGGCCACTGCCTCATGCCACAAGGTGAGCTAGCAGATAAACAACAGTGTGCATGAGCTAGAAATAGCTACTGCTTTACTTTAGCCCTCCACATGTCCCACAGAAATTTCCTTTATGTATAATCTTAATCAGAAACATGGCTTGAAAAAGAATTCTGGGAAATATAGTTCAACCTAGGCCAACTGACACATTACAGAGCCTACACAGTTCACCCCTTCTCAACTTGGCAGTTACATACATCGCCTTAAACCAAACTCAGTCTACAAATAAAGACATTAATGAAGTCAGGCTTCTACTTCATGTGATACAAGTATCCCATGTACAAATGAAAACACACTAACCCTTTCCTCGGAAAAGGATACAAAGCAGGCGCCTGGGTGGCTCAGTCCGTTAAGCGGATGCCTTCAGCTGGGGTCATCCCGGGGTCCTGGGATCGAGCCCCACATCGGGCTCCCTGCTCCGTGGGGAGCCTGCTTCTCCCTCTGCCTCTGCCTGCCTCTCTCCCTCTGTCTCTCATGAATAAATAAAGAAAATCTGTAAAAAGAAAAAACGGATACAAAGCCCCTTTATTGTTCTTGGCTTCTGTCCATTCCTCTCACCTTTTGTATGCTGTAATTTAAATACTGAGAGATAAAGCTAATTACTTGTTGATACATATTACATGAGATGATAAGGAAATAAGAGAGGAGAGGAAAACAAAAATAATATATATATTCAAATCAAAATAAGGAAGAAATACCTATAGCTATTACATTGCTCATTTTTGTAACTGGCCATGTAGTTGTAGCTGGTATTTGTAACTACCTTCATTCTATATTCCCTTTGTTCTTAACAAGCACCTCAACTGGTCATAGTTCTTGCCTGGTAGGCTGACCCATACCTTCATTCCTGAGGCAGTTGGGCCATTAGCCATCCTTCCTGAGTTAGAGTAGGTTGTAGTTTTCTATTGACATTAATCACAGGAAGTACTAACAGGTGTCCTCGATGATTTCCTGCATTGCAGACATACTCCTCTTTATTCCCATTGTGTAGTAGCAACTCAATTATCCCTTAGTTATCAGGATCAATCACACCAGCCAATATAGTAACACTATTCCATTCCTTGTTAATTCAGTGGTATAAGGAGCCCAAAGTGGCAAGATGACAGTCTCAGTTTTGAGCTCAATGGAATCATTGTTGTGTCACTTAATAGAAGCCTTCCTCCCTATGGAACTAAGACCTTTAGATCAACAGAGCCTAAAATCGTAGGAATGGGAGGCAACAGTTTTGTTAGTAGGTCACTGAGAGTACTAAGAAGAGAAGCCAGTCCCATTTCCATCCCTTCATTCCCAGACCTGGGAGAAATACCACATGTATTAAATGCTGATTTAGGGTACATACAACACCCTGGAGTACATTATCTCAGCCCCACAGGGTGTTGTCACCTAAGCAGACACCATAACTGAGTCTTCAGAAAGTTACTTCACCACTTTATGAAGCCCGCTGCTTAAGGATAATGGGGAATATGGTAAGACCAGTGAATGTTGGCAGACCTCAGGCTCTTTCTCATCCTCTCACTTGCTCTCTCTGATGGAAGTTAGCTCTGTGCTGGGTGAGGTGTTCTGTGCAAAGGCCCACATGGCAAGGAACTGGTGTCTCTGATCAAGAGTCAGTGAGTACCTGAGGCCTGTCCACAGCCCCGTGCGTGACCTTGGAAGAGGATATTCTCCCAGATCAGCCTTGAGATAACTGCAACCCAGCCAACACCTTGATGATGGTGAGACCCTAAGCCAGTCACTTAGTTAAGCCACACTCAGATTCCTAACCCAGAGGATGTGCGAGTGCTAAGTGTATATTGTTTTAAGCTGCCCGACTTGGGGGTTATTTATTCCATGGCAGTAAATAAGTAATACAGCAGGTTTAAATGTGAACTCTTGTAGTTGCTGAAGCCTAAGTAGAAACGACCTTAACTTTTTTGAGGCTAAAGTCTTGTAAGGCTCATCTTTGCCCTGATACCTGAGGATTTAAGAGCAACTTTCTAAAAAGGCACTAAAAAGTTCATTGAAGACAATTCATTCCTAGCCTAGTTCTCTGACTGCCTCATTAGACTTTGCTGTACATTGTATCAGAGACAAGATATTAAGTTTCTTCTTTATCACATTTGATCACTGTATCAGTTGATCACTAAGTCTTCTCACTCTGCAGCTCTTCACTGACCAGTTTTTCTTAGGACAGAATTTGCTACTCCCTGCAACCTTCTATTCCCTGTGGGTTTTTATTCCAACAAATTTGGCTTAAATAGGAAGGAGATTTCACATACACTCCCCAGCATATATCCACTTGTTTCTCATATATATATTGATCACTTATATTATGTCCCAGGTACTACTCTGGAAGTTGGGGACGTAGCCGTGAATAGTAGCTTCTCATGACTATCTTTTTTTCCAAAAAAATTTAAAGAAAAAAAGAACTGTTACCTGGACCTTTGCTAGTGGTAGGTTCCTCCCTTTGAACCTGGCGTCATTAGGTTGCATCAAATGAGAAGAGTTCGGGGCAGCACCGCCAGCACTTTCCATATAAAAACTCAACAGTTTTTCAATCAAAATCAGTGATCTCTCACAAAGAGTTCTTTAAAAATGTTGAATAAGGGGTATGGCATCAAATGGGATTTTGAAAATTAATTTAATAAATGGATAAAAGAGAGGAGCAAGGAGCTGGAGGCAGCAGACTCAGCAGGCTGTGATGATGAAGCAAGTATATGGGGTGGATGGGG